AAAAGAAGGAATTCGTAACTCAGTTATCTGATCATTTTGCATCTTAGTTTTGTCTTTTCAGTGTTAGCTATCCATCCTACTTTTGAGTACAACATTCCAGTTATCCAATTTTAAATCACATTTGTTTTAAGCTTGGTCTAGTTTATTTTTTTCTTCCTAGGTTAAAAACATCCATTTTTCCCAGGGCAGTAAGCATGGAAACAGTATCAGCCTAGTCTGGGAAATAAGTTACAAATAAATATGTAAAACCTTGGTACACAAGTCAGTAGGCTATGTTGCTCAAAGACTTTTTTCCTCTAAAGGCTGCTTCACAAAGGAGAATAATAATGCCCTCTGTGTCCAACCTGAAACCTTCAGCAAAAAGGAAAAAGAAGAAGAAAACAGAGACAGCCCAATCTTTTCCTAGCTAGAAGTGAATTTGCTATTGGGTAGTAAGCCTACTAGACAGAGGTAACTGAAATAATAAATAATAATTCAAAATCCTCTTGTTTGGGTGTGGAAATAATATAATCGTTAGGTGAGGAATTTGCAAGAGGTAAAACCTTTTGTGGAGCCTTGAGTCTTTTTTTTCTTTCTGAGTCACTATTCCCCTTTTATCTGTTCTTTACATGCTCTTGGGAGAATGTGCTTTCTCCTTCTTTACATTCTGGTAGAGACAGTGAATACTGATGAGCAAATGCCCTGCTAGGAGGTTGCTCCAGGCAGTCATTTGCTAGACTTATTCTTAGGAAGTACTCAATGTGCCCAATTAGTTGGAGAGAAACGATGGAGAACCGATGTTAATAAATTCAACTTCATACTGTAGAAGAAAAGTGCCTCTGTGTTTAACTCTGTTCTGTGGAGTTGCATCCAATTTTAATTTTTGTTTTCATTGAAATTTAGAGGCTGTGATTTTGGAGTGATAATTTGGTTTCATTTTTATGTTCAAATGTAATTGCATAGGAAATTTGACAGGTGACAATAGCAAAACTAAAAAGGTTGTAGCTAGAAGTTTGAAAGTGCATTATAGGCATAGATATTCCATCTTCTCTTTTCTGCTACTATACCCTTGATAAGTCACATTTCAGTTGCTGCATTGACTTTAAAACTAATGAATGATAGCTATAAACCAAATCCCTATTTTTCTCCTTTTCTTTTTCTACACATCAAAACTCTATCATTTCCCTTTTAGTCAATACTTTAATATAATAGTTGGCACTTGGATGTATCTTAAGATAAAAACATGAGGAGTAGGACATTCACTATCTGGGCAACAAACAATCATGAATTTTCTAACCATAGTCTATGTTCAGAAAGCCGGGACAACATACATTGAAGGATTGCCAACCTTCAGAGAGCTCTATAGACTTACAAACATGAGCATCTCAGTTCTTAAATCATCTTAGTATCTGCAAATAATCAAAACAAAAACAAAACAAAAACAAAACAAAATATTGATATACTGCTTATTTGATATACAATAAGAAGGTGGATAAGACTTTTAAAAGTCATATATTAAGGAATGCTTTATTGCGTGTCTGAAAATATCAACATAAATTAAATGACAAGATACCCAGGCAATTCCCAGACATGCAATAGAGAACATACGTATAGCACAAAACAGGATGTAACCACATACAGACAGCATCTTACTATAGAAAGAGGTGTATTACAGCTAAAACCCTTGAATATACTAAAAGAGGAAAAGGTAATCCAAACATGGTTTCAGTATGGACAGTTGCAGGCCAGATGGAAAAAATGATCAGAAAATTCGTATTACGCAAGACGAGGATAATCTACTAAAACAAATTAGGGATCAAAGTCAAATGCATATAAAAAGGTTATATAACGTTCTAATAGAAATGGACTCTGAAACAGAATTAGTTAAAGACTGTATGATAAAGTGGGCACAAAATTTTGAAGAATCAATAATGGATAAAGTTCACTCCTCAGTTGTTCTTGCTAGGTATAATTACAGATTGTACAGTTATAGAGACT